ATGTAGACGACGCCCTCAAGGTCGGGCTGCTCGAGTTGGAGCAGCTCTTCGAAGTCGAACTGTGGAACGAGGCCCAACGTCGGGTGCGTATGACGCATCAGGCGCTCGACGGCGACGAGTTGAAAAGGGCCGTGTTGCACGAACTGATCGAATGGCAGGTGAGCGATCTGTTCCAGCAGACCACCGGCAATCTCAAGAGCCAGGCAATCGATAGCATGGCGGCCGTTTCAGCCGCGGCCCCCTTGGTTACGGCCTCCAGTACGATCGCCGAGCAGAAGCGCGAGATGGAGGCCTTTCTTTACGATCGGGTTTACCGTCACCCTCGAGTGCTCGAAATGCGGAGTCGTGCACAGGAGTATCTGATGGATATGTTCCAGCTGTACACGGCCGACGTGAGCCTACTGCCCCAGTGGTATCGAGCCCGGTGTCCCAGCGAGGGAGTTGCCCGCACCGTGGGCGATTATCTGGGCGGAATGACCGATCGTTTTGCCCAGCAAGAACATACGCGGCTGTTCGCACCTGCAAGCGGCACTGACAAGCCTTGCCGGGGCTGATACGATAAAGTCAGGTACAAATCCTGGGCAAGCGCCCAGCCACCTGGCCTGCTCTAGTCCGCATCGTGTGGCGGGGCCCAAGCCTTCAGGAAAGCTGAACGGTCATGCCGCTGCTGATCCTTCGAGTGATGTTCATCGTGATCGCCGCCGGGCTCGGCGTGTTCGTCTTCCGCTCGCAAGACGAATTGCTACCATTTTCCTGGCTGGTGCTGACCGGCATGCTGTTAATGGCCGGCGGCGTAATCGCACTCGATGTCTTCGTTCGCCGCAAAAGCCTGGACATCATCACCTCGGTGTACTTCGGTACCGTGGTGGGGCTATTCCTGGCCTACGTCATCGGGCTGGCGTTGATCCCGCTCCCGCTCCGCGAAGCCCAACGCGAGGCCCTCCAACTCGTGTTGGCCCTGGTGCTGTGTTACATCTGCATCAGCCTGCTGATGCAAACGCGGGACGATTTCCGCTTCATCATCCCCTACGTCGAGTTTTCCAAGGAAGTTAAAGGGCAGAAGCCCTACATCCTCGACACCAGCGTGATCATCGATGGCCGCATCGCCGACGTGCTGGAAACTCGCATTTTCGATTCTCAGTTGATCATGCCCCGCTTCGTGCTGGCCGAACTGCAGGCCATTGCCGACAGTTCCGACAAGCTGCGGCGGGGCCGCGGACGCCGGGGGCTCGATATGCTCAACCGCCTGCGCTCGGGCGGCGAGGTCGATCTGCAGATTTACGATCGTGAGTTACCCGAGTTCGTGGGGCAGCCCGTCGACTTGAAGCTGGTCATGCTGGCCAAACATCTCGAGGGCAAGATCGTCACCAACGACTTCAATCTCAACAAAGTGGCCAAGCTGCAGGGTGTGGGGGTGATCAACCTCAACGACCTGGCCAACGCCCTGAAGCCGGTTTGCCTACCGGGCGAAGTGATGGAGGTGAAGGTCGTCAAGCCGGGCGAGGAGTTCGGCCAGGGAGTCGGGTACCTCGACGATGGAACGATGGTCGTTATCGAAAACGCCCGCGACCATGTGTCCAAGACCGTAACCGTCACGGTAAACAACGTTCTGCAAACCAGCGCCGGCCGCATGATCTTCGCCCGCTACGACATGGCCGACGAGCCCACCACCCCCAAGCCCGCCAACAGCTAGGGCGTAGCGCGTTTGCTCGCAAACGCGAAAGGCAAGCGGTCATTCCAGGGCAGCCAAATCGAATTGGGTGGCCCAGCCGAAACGGCTGGGTCGGCGCAGCCGACAGGATGCCCTAAGGAAAAGCCTGCAGCTTTGTGAGCTGATGGCCTGTCATGTCGCGCGAATCTCAAGGGAAGGCCGAAGCTTGCGTCCTTCCGCACTTCAGACATCTTGTCGGCTACGCCGACCCGCCCGATACGCGGACGGGCCACCCAACGGATACGCTACATCCGTTCGACCACGTCGATCCCCAGCAGCGACAAGCCGGTCTTCAGCGTGCGGGCCGTCAGATCACACAGCAACAGCCGGCTGTCGCGGATCGAGGTGTCTTCAGCTTTGATCACAGGGCATTGTTCGAAGAACGTCGAATAGCTGCCGGCCAGTTCGAAGAGATAGCCAGTGAGATGGTTGGGACGGTAGTCTTCGACCATCGTATTCAAGGCTTCTTCGAACCGCACCAGCGCCACGGCCAGCCCTCGCTCGGCCGGCTCGTCGATGCGGATCTTCGTGCCGGAGCAGCGTAGCTCCTCCAGATCGACCCCGCTCTTACCGAAGATGCTCCGCACTCGGGCGTACGCATACTGCATATAGGTAGCCGTGTTTCCGTTGAGAGCCAGCATCTTGTCGTAGCTGAAGACGTAGTCGCTCGTGCGGTTGTGCGAGAGATCGGCGTACTTGAGCGCCGCGATACCGATGGATTGGGCCACTTGGTTGCGATTCTCAGCATTGACACGGGCGGTAGGGCCCTCGGGTGAAGTCTCCTCGATCTTCTCGCCAGCCCGACGTACAGCCTCGTCGAGCAGACTTTCCAAGCCCACGGTATCGCCCGAGCGGGTTTTGAACGGCCGACCGTCTTCGCCCAACACCGTGCCGAAGCTCACGTGCTGCAGTTCGACATCCTCGTAGCCCCACTTGCGGGCCGTGGCGAAAAGCTGCTCGAAGTGGAGACTCTGCCGATGGTCGACCACATACAAAATGGCATCGGGCTTCCACTCTTCCATGCGGTATTGAATCGTCGCCAAATCGGTCGTGGCATACAGGAAGGCTCCGTCTTTCTTCTGCACGATCATCGGCGTGTCGAACCCATCGAGAAACACACACACGGCCGCGTCGCTATCCGTGGCCAAGTCCTTCTCCCGCAGCTCGTCTACCACCTTCGCCAGCCGGTCGTGGTAGAAGCTTTCGCCCAGCGTATGGTCGAACGACACGCCAAGCCGCTGATAGACCTTGTCGATCTCCTTCTGACAGGCCGGAAGAAACTCCTCCCACAGAGCTTTGCGTTCCGCATCGCCGGCATGCAGCTTGGCGGTTTCGGCCAACACATCGGAACCGATACTTGGGTACTTCTCAACAAGCGGGCCGCGATCTGGATCTTCTTCTACGGCCTTCAACTTGGCATCGAGTGCGGCCAACTGACCGCGCTGCTCAGATAGTTGTTGTACCGAACGCTTATGAGCCTTGGCTTCTTTCTTTTGTTCCGAGGTCAGCTTCTGCCCCGAGTTGGCCGCCGCATCGACCTTAGCTTGCTCAGCTTCGACCTTCGTTTCAAGGCGTTCAATCTGCTCGACCAACGCAGGGCGGGAAGCCTTTGAGGCATGGTAATCGACCAGGCCGCTCACCAGTCGATAGAGCCGTGACAGCTCCATCACCGGTTCGCGTTCGTATGCTTCGCGATCGAGGAAGTTCTGGTAACCGAACAGGATCATCCCGAACTGGGTACCCCAGTCGCCAATGTGATTGTCGCTGATGACCGTGTGACCCAGGAACTCGAGCGTGCGATACAGGCTGTCGCCAATCACGGTGGAGCGTATGTGGCCCACGTGCATCGGCTTGGCCACGTTGGGCGCCGAGTAATCGATTACGTACGTCCGCGGATGCTCCGTCGGGGGAATTCCCAATCGCGGGTCGGCGACGGCCGCCATCAATTGGGCGACCAGCCATTCATCACGCAGGCGGAAGTTGATGAACCCGGGGCCGGCGATTTCGGGTGCGTCGCATAGGTCGGAGACATCCAACCGCTCGACGATCTCGGCGGCCACTTCACGCGGCGGGCGGCTGAGTTGCTTCCCCAGCGGCATCGCACAGTTGGCCTGATAGTCGCCGAACTTGGGGTCCTGACTGCGGCGCACCATGGAGGCCGCCTCGGTGGGATCCTCAACCAGTCCTTCGAGCGCCGCAAAAAGACGATCGCGTAGTTCAGCAACAACGTTCATAGCCGAGAGGTATCCCAACAACAGACAGAAGAAAAGGGCGGCCACAGTGTGCCACGAAGCCACACGAAGTCGCAAGACCGGGTGCCATCACTTATCGAAGCTAACACGGGGTGCCCCCGGTTCTCGAACCGGGGTCGCCGCAGGCGACAAGAGGCCCCAGGTTCGGCCCGTTCTGCAGAGGGTCTCTGAAACAGCTGCACGGGAGATGAGTGGACCCAGCCCGACGGGGCAGACCACTCCTTAAGCCCTCCAGTGGCTGCGCCACAACGGATCAAGATCCGGTGCCACCCGAGATTATTGCCGCACGAGGTTGGAACAACGTCGCGCCGTCGACGCAACCAACTACACGTCGGGCGTGGAAAAACTGCGGGGACCGCGGGAGTGGCTACTTGGGCGTCACGCTGGACTCAGTATCGAAGGGCAGCGGTACGCGTTTGGCTCCGGTCCAGAGATTCTCCAGATCGAAGTAGTCGCGCATGTCGTCCTCGAAAATGTGGACCACCAGGTTGCCGTAGTCCAGCAGAATCCACCCGCTGGATTGGTACCCTTCGATCCCCAGGCGCTGATCGCCCATCTCGTCTTCGAGGCAATGATCGATGTCTTCGCTGATGGCGTGCAACTGCCGGCGACTGGAGCCGGAGACGATGAGGAAATAATCGCACATCGTCGTCATTTCACGCATGTCCAGAATGACAATGTCCCGACCGCGATTTTCGTAGGCAGATCGGGCGGCGGCCAGGGCTAGTTCCAGAGCCCGTTCGGCTGGCCGCGGGGAGGGGACGGTCGTGCTAATGGCCATAATCTCCTATGCGAGAAAAGCTGGGCCGATGGGAATGTGTACTGCGCCGCTGTGGAGCATCACTATTCCATTGTACTCAGCCGGGCTTTCGTGCAAGCGGGAATCCCGCCGGTAAGCAGGGCGATTGTTCGCTGCAAACGCTTAGACACCGCACCGCCTGGGCAAGTTCACCAACGGGACTATAATCTGCAGTCACGTGAAACGTGTGAGATTACGCAATCAGCAAACACGCTCTAACCCTAGTGGAGCACTCAACATGGGCGATTGGATCGAAGCCGGAAAGAAAGCCCCCGACTTCACACTAACCAGCGACTCGGGCGAGAAGATCAAGCTCTCTTCGCTGCAAGGCGGGCCGGTAGTTTTGTACTTCTACCCCAAAGACGACACTCCCGGATGCACGAAAGAAGCCTGTGCGTTTCGCGATCAGAAGTCGGCCATCAAAAAGTCGGGCGCGACCGTCCTCGGCGTAAGCCCTGATGATGTGGAAAGCCATGTGAAGTTCCGCGACAAGTACAAACTGAACTTCCCGCTGTTGGCCGACGCGGGCCACAAGGTGGCCGATAAGTACGGTGCCTGGCGCGAGAAGAACATGTACGGCAAGAAGTCGATGGGCATCCAACGCTCGACCTTCCTCATCGATCCCGCAGGCAAGGTGGCCAAAGTCTGGAAGCGCGTCAAAGTCGACGGGCACGATGAAGAAGTGCTCACCGCCATCGCTGGGTTGGAGATGGAATAGGTGACAGGCTATCTATGACTGGGTGGCCCGGCCGTGTCGGCCGGGTCGGTGAAACCGACAAGATGCTTTGAGAAGAATTATCTTCACTAGAAAGGTCCGGATCCCGTAGAACTACCACCGGTCGATAGTCAGAAGCCGTTTCTCTCCGCACCGAGGGTACAAAAGCCAACCCGTCCGAGGCGCGGACGGACCGCCCTTGCGTGTCTAGAAGTTTGACTTAATTCATTTCGCTGCAGCGAAAAGTAGATCGGCATCGATCACGCTATCGAAGAAGTCGGACTCCAAAGTCGAGTCCGGATCATTCGAGTGCAGCACGGAAATATCGCCGGTGGTCTCAAACACCACGGCCAGCACCTGATCGTAGTTCAGTGCGTTGGCCTCGCGGAGTTTGGCATACAGATCGGAGCGGGTCACATTGGCCAGTTCGAGGTTCGCGTCAAGAATATTCGCGCCGGCCATGAGCAGTATTGGTTGGTTATCAACAAGCTTGCTGAATGAAGGCGACAATCTGCGTAGGGTTGCCATTGTCCATTGGCCCGCATAGAGCGTGGCCAACGCCGTGAGCCCGATGACCAGCACAGGTTTATTCGAAGATACCGTCGCCCCAAACACCGAACCAGCGGCCAGTGTCATCACGAAGTCGGCGGCCGACATCTTCGAGAGACTTCTCAACCCTGCCAGTCGTGTGTATAGCAAGATCGCCGCATAAGCGACAATGCCCGAAAGCACCACCATTGGCACTTCGTTCCAACCTGCTGTGATCCATTTTTCGAACATTGATCAGGCCCCTCCAGCGTTTTTTCGAGACACGCGTTTTCTTCATTCCGGGTGAATACTCAAATGCGTAGTCGCATATCAGATGCCAAACATCGACGCGGGTTGAATCGAATTGCGAGGGGATCGAAGCCGCGCTGGATAGCACGGTGAGCGAGCATCGCGAACGGTGGGAACTCAAGCAGAACAGCTTAATCCACAAACCAGCGAACCATCATCCCACTGGGTAACCGCCGGCCGGAGGCCGTCTCGAGCATCAGCGGATTGGCCTCGATTGTGCCGGGCGGCAGATGCGACACGGCCGTCTCCACATGCTGGCGAAGATCACTCAGTCGCACCCGTTCGGTGTGGCAGGTGAGCAGGATGAACGGCTGTTCGACCGACCGCAGTAACTTCGCGCAGTCTTTCAGCAGCAGCTCGAGGTGATGGCTTAGCTTCCACACTTCGCTCTTGGGGCCGTGGCCGTAGCTGGGGGGATCGAGGATCACGCCGTTGTAGCGGTTTCCCCGCTTTACCTCGCGGGCGACGAACTTCCGGCAGTCCTCCACAATCCAGCGGATCGACGCGTCGGCCAACCCCGATAGCTCCGCATTGCGGCGAGCCCAATTCACGGTGTTCTGCGCACTGTCGACGTGCACTACTTCGGCCCCCACCGCCGCAGCGGCCAACGTGCTTCCACCGGTGTACGCGAATAGGTTGAGCACCTTCGGTTGCATCCCGCCGGGCGTACCCAGTCGGGTGGCCAGCCAATCCCAGTTGGCGGCCTGCTCGGGGAAGAGGCCCACGTGCCCAAAGTCGGTCGCCTTCAATTCGAACCGCAGTGAAGTCTCAGCGCCGTCTTCCGATGGCCAACGGGCACGATGTTCGATGTTCCAGCTTGCTGGCAATCCGTGGCTGGGCGACCACACTCCACGATCGGCCGCGCTGCGAACGAACTGGGCGTTCGACTCCGACCATAAGGCATACTCACTCAGCGCGTCCGACTCGGCCTCGAGGCAAGGACGATCGAGCACATACTCGCCGAAGCGTTCGAGTTTTCGCCCGCCACCGTAATCCAGCAGTGCGTATTCCTCGGGCGTAAACATAGTTGCAGCACCGTTTCTAATTCCCAGAACCTGCAAGGAACCGCGGACGAAAGCCCCGGCGTCCCTTCCATCCTTCTACCCGAGCTATGCCACTCGAACCAGCCCCGACCTATGCTTAAAAGAGCGAAGCAGTCGCGGTCCCCGGCGGTTGACCGCTCGGGTGGCGAGGTCATACGATTGGACAACGAACGCCCAAGCAATGTTCATCCCCCGGCGTCCCAATCCCATCAGCATTCATTCGACCGGCGAACCAACTCCATGGATCCATTTCGCTTGTGCCTTGCTTTCGGCCCCCTGGCCGTTTACCTGTTGGTGGTCGGAATCGTCAACCTCTCGCGCCGCCCGCTGGTGACCAATGGCGCCCGCGAAACCATCGCCCTGGGCCTGGCCGTCTCGGGCCTGCTGTTCATTGGGCCCATGGAACTCTTTCTGCCGGCCTCCTCGGCAGCCTTCTTCGGACCCTATATTTGGGTGCTGTTGGTTGGGTTCTACGGAATGACGTTGCTATTGATTGTGCTGGTGCAACAGCCGCGGATTAACGTCTACAACCTCACGGGCGAGCAACTCCATCACGTGTTGCCCGAGCTAGTCGTGCGGCTCGATGAGGGCTCTCGCTTCGCCGGCGATTGTTTGCTTATGCCCAACTTGAAAGTGCAACTGCACGTCGATCGCTTCTCACCCCTGCGAAGTATCTCGCTAGTGCCCGCGGGCGATCAGCAAAGCTTTCAAGGTTGGACCGTTCTAGAGAAGGGGCTAGCCGCTGAGCTGGCCAAGGTGTCGGTCCGCCCCAGTCCTCAAGGTGTGATTCTGCTGATTGTCGCTGTGGGGATGCTGACGATTCTGTGTCAGCAACTCGTCTCCGACCCGGTGGCCGTAACCGAAAGCATGCGCGACATGCTGCGGCTGGCATCGTAGACCACCGGAGTTCAGCTACTTTTCCGCCTCTGCTTCGGCGTTCTCCTGCAACCGAAACACCACGCGGTAAGCCTGATACCCCTGGGCAAGTTGCTCGGCGTAGAACTCGTTGAGTTCAGCCCGCAGCGCGTCGGCCGTGGGGAAGCCATCGGGCCGTGCGTCATCGTCCGTCAAGTCTTCTAGACGCACCTCTTCGACCGTTTTCACGTCGATATACCCGATGCCCGGGATGTAGCTCCGCTGGCCCGAGCGCATCCGCCGGTGCTTCCACAACCGAATCGTCTGCGTTTTCGTCCCCGCCCGAATCGCGTCGAGGTACTTTTTCTTGAACAACAACATCCGCGGTGCTGCCCCCTGTCAGATGCAAGCAAGTCTCAATTCAGCACATGATTCTAACACGACAAAAACCTCCTGTAGGGCAACGGCAATTCTCGGAACGCCACGGGGGCGTGCCCTACAGATTGAGCGTTCGAACCGCATTTCGACCGAAAACTTGCTTACGCCCCCCGGGCAAGTATCCTGGAGGCCTTGGGGGGTGCGGAGGGAATTTGTCCGTGCTCTCGCGAGCCAACGCGGGTTGAGAACCGTAGTGGTTTTAGATCGACACAAACCTCGTCGAGCGCGGCGAGCCTGCATCAATACTTGGGAGAGATCATCATGCGTCGTCGCGATTTGCTGCTTGCCGGTGGGGCCACCGCGTTGTCGATTTCAGCCTGGCCCTGGAAAGCGGCCCTGGCCGACGATCAGCCGAAACGCAAGGTGCTCATGTTCACCCGTAGTGCCGGCTTCGAGCACGGCGCGATTCGCGAGAAAGACGGCGAGATGGGGCATGCCCAAAACGTCTTCACCGACCTGGGCAAGAAGCACAACTTCGACGTGGTCTCTACCAAAGACGGTCGCATCTTCGACGAAGACCTCGATCAGTTCGATGCCTTCCTGTTCTATACCACCGGCGACCTGACGCAGGAAAAGAAAGGCGAGAAACCGCCGATGAGCGCCGAGGGAAAGCAGAAGTTCCTCGATGCAGTCGCGGGCGGGAAGGGCTTTGTGGCCACGCATAGCGGTGCCGACACATTCCACTCGCCCGGGCACGACGCTGCCCGCTACGAAAATCAGCCCGAGATCGATCCCTACATTGCCATGCTGGGCGGTGAGTTCATCAGCCACGGCCCTCAACAAGAAGCCCGCATGGTGGTGGCCGATTCGAACTTCCCCGGCACGAACGACCTGGGCAACAGCTTCACCATCAACGATGAGTGGTACTCGCTGAAGAATCTCGCCGATGACATGCACGTGGTTCTTGTGCAAGACACGCAAGGCATGGAAGGTCGCGACTATCAGCGTCCGGCTTACCCGGCCACCTGGGCCCGACGGCATCACGACGGCCGCGTGTTCTACACCTCGATGGGTCACCGCGAAGACGTGTGGACCAGCCCTGTGTTCCAACAGGTGTTGTTGGGCGGACTGCGATGGACCACCGGCGATGTGCAGGCCGACGTCACACCGAACATGGAAAGTGTGACCCCCGGCGCAAAGGTGCTGCCGAAAGTTTAGCAGCAGCGGCAACTACAGATCGAGCTGCTTGAGGAACTCGTCGGAGTCGTCGTCGTTCGAGACGTCGTTGTCTTCGTCGAGTGAGGCGAAGTCGGGCACGTCGTCTGCTTCGTCCACCTCATCGGAGTCGACCAGGAAGGCCATCGCATCGTCGTCCGACGAATCGGCGGGCGCGACCATCGAGTCGTCGTCCTCGATCGAATCGAAGCTGACCTGCTCTTCGAACTGCGGTTCTTCGGCGGCCGGCGGTTGGGGTACGGCGACCGCTTCGTCGGTCGGTTCAGTCTCTTTTTTCTTCTTGCCGAGCCCCCAGCCACGCTTCTTCTTGGGGGCTTTTGGCTCTGATTTCGCCTCCGCTGCGGCGGCCTTCTTCTTAGCGAAGGGCCACCAACCACGCTTGGACTTTTCTTCAGCGGCTGGCGATTCTGCAACGTCGGCACCCGATGCGGTGATTTCGGCCGATTCCTCGTCGAAGTCGATCGCCTCGATCTCGGCAACCTCTGCGCCCGAGCCGGCGTCGGCCTCGACCGCGTCGAACTGAACCACGCTCGAGTCGTCATCGTCGTCACCGAACGACGGAAGTTCGAACTCATCGTCTGCCTCAGACACCGCGTCGGTTAGCTCCGGCTGGGCGTCATCTTCCATCAGCTCGACCGCATCGAACAGCTCGTC